GCAGCGTGAGGGAGAGAGGGGCTGCAGGCACTGCCAGGCTGGGAGCAGGGTGGGATGCTGGCATGGGGCCTGTCAGGTCAGGACGGTGCTGGGCATCCCTGCCCAGGGAGGGGGGCATGGCCACTGCAGTGGGGGCACGTGGGCAGGGAGGAAATGAATGCTCCAGCTGTGCCTGCGCTTCCCTTATCCATAGCCTGCCCCTGGAAATGCTAAGGGGTGCCCTCATCAATAGGCAGAGAGCCTTGGGGGTCCCTGTGCTCTTGGAGAGGGGATGGTGCCAGCCAAGGGCAGCGCTGGTAAAGGGTCCTGGTCCCACCAGCTGCTTCCCAGTGCCTGCACTTGTGTGTGAGGAGCAATGCCCTGCACAAAGGCACCTCTGAGGCTCCAGAGCTGGCCCTGGCCCTGGCACATCCCTAATGGGGCTGCCAGCTGCAGGCAGCTGGAGCTGCACCGCGATGGAGACAGCTGGCCATGGGCAGCCTCAAGCCGGGCACCTTCACCCCTCCACCACCTCTTCCCAGGGCGGGCACTGGCTTCTTCCCACTGGCTGGGGGGTGATGGACCTATGGGGTGTCTCCTGTCCCAGCAAAGCACAGGTGGGGTGCCCCAGCTATGCCCTACAGAACAGCCTGTAGCTCTGCAGGGGCTTTGCGGGCATGTGTCCTGCTCAGTGGCGAGGGTCCCATGGAGTATTCCAGAGGATCGTGGTGCCAGGGCTGTGCCATGCCTGGCATGGGGGTGTCCCAGCAGGCCCTCACCCGAGCTCTGCCCCAGCAGCTCCCATTGTCTGCCCTCATTAGCTGCTGCCTGCTCGCGGCTTTGAACATGAGCCCGGCTCGGGGCGACAGGAAGGAGCCTCTGCTCCCAAGGGATGGGGTCTGTGGTGAAACTGCATGCCATGGGCCCCCCTTCTTGCAGCCTCCCACTGCCTTCTGGGCATCCCAACACCCCCTCCAGGCCTAAGCCTGAAGACAAGAAAGCATGTGGGGCACCCCCTCTCTCCAGAAAAGCCTCCCTCAACTGCCCTGCCCCGCTGTGGGATGCAGAGAGCCTTCAGCCTCCCCAAAGCTTTGTGCCGAGCGTGGCTTGTGCCGTGTCTAATCCCCCCGGCCTCACACACACGCGGTGGGGTGGGGGGAGCTGTCGTAATGGGTGGAAATATCTCATAATTCACGTTGGACACAGGGATTACAGCCATTCCGGCAATATTTGCACAACTGGTAGGCGACTTGCAGGGCTGGGCCATCCCAGATGAAGGCCAGGGGGGTCTGGGGATGCAGGGAGTTTTGGGGGTAGTAGGTAGGGAAGGGGGATGCAGTTTGGGGGGCAATGGAGCGGGGGAAGTTGGTTATTTTCTGCCTGTGAATGCATGGAATTTATTATGGAGGGTGTGTTGCTGACATGGTGGGGATGGCTGGGGCTCTCGCCTTCATCTCATCCTGCTGTGGTGGCCACAGCTCGGGGAGCAGAATGGAAACCCCAAAAGAGTCTCATTGGCCATGTCAAACAGAGCCTGGCAGTGTTCCTGAACAAGATACATGTTCTGAGTGCCTCGTCAAGCCCATAGAGCTCCCTGCTCACAGGAGCACCTAAAGGTGCTGGTGTCCCCCTGACCCCAAATGTTCCCTCCTCAAAGGCTTTGCAGGGTGACCCCAGGAGGAGGAAGACGGGGGGCATGTGGGGCATGTGGGGGCCTTGTTTGGCACGGGGATTAGCAAGCTCCCAGAAGCGATGGTGGTCTCCCCCCTCCCCACCGGACATGCAGGCAAATATTTGTGCCCAGACTTCGCAGGACAGCGAGAAGGAATTTCATTCTTGCGCCCACCTGCGGCTCGACTGCCTGGCATTAACCCCTTCTCCTCTCCATGGGATGGAGGTGGAGGGACGAGGTGCCCTCCCAGCACACTCCAGAGGGACGAGGTGCCTTCCAAGCACACTCCGTGTGCCCCATTGGAGTGGGAAGCTTGGCTGAGAAGCCCGATGCTAGAGGATGCACAGTGGAATCGCCCTAGATGCCAGCAGAGCCACTGGCATTAGGTGCCCGTGTCCAAGGCAAGGAGGGTTTGCCCATGGACATCCTCTGGGCAGCACCGAGGGCTTTGTGCCGGGGTTCTGGGCAGCATGTGGCTTGCTGAAAACTGGGAAAGGTAAAACCTGCCATCCTTCAGCCCCAGGCTGCTGCACCCGGACCAAGGTGCCCCTTGCAGGTCCGTTTACCCGGCAGCCTGCGTGTTCTCGTGGGACGGCTGTCTGCGAGCAGCGCAAGGACCAGGCTGCGCGGGGAGCAGGATTTGCCCATGGATGTTTATTGGCAATTTGCATATGTAGCAAAAAAGCCCGGAGGGTCCAGGAGGGACCCTGCTCCCGGGGACTGCCCGTGCTCGGGGAGGGGCAGCCCGGGTAGAGGGTCCGCCGCTGCCTGGCACCCGTAGAGCCCCGCTGAGCTCCTTTCCCTGGCCCCGGAGCCAGCTGTGTCCTGAGCAAACGGGGCTGTTTGCTCACGCCGGGATTAGCCGCTCTCTTTGTTCCTTTGACTTTCTCTTTCCTTTATGCCAGACCCTTTTATGGGGGCTTCAAAGGGGGCTAGGACCCCCTCCCTGTCCCTGGAAGGCCAGGTTTGCTTCCCATGCTAGCACTGACATCCTGGGGGTGCCCACCGAGCACATCTGGGTGGCCTGCGGGGACAGCAGCTGTGTCACCGAACCACATTCTCCCCCCC